GTGCAAAAACACAATGGATGGCCGAATTGCCTCCTCGTTTGTATTTGCTAAGTTGCTACTACTTTTTTTATAAAAGTGTATGCGAAATAAATGCACGTCTTCTACTTACCTTCGATAATCTTTGAATTAGATTTGGAATTATAATAATACACTATTACCATTCGACTAGAACCAAAGAGGTAGCTTACCTGTAAGAAAAAAGAAGGGAAAGGATATTAGCATTTCTAAGTCTAATGCCGAATTTCCACTAGGCATTGAAATGGCAAAAAATGTATGACATTAAAAAAAAATGCCATGTGGAAACGAACTTAACGACTATTTTTTTAATGTAATGACATGATTATTTTCTAATGCTCGACTTTGTCATTTATGCCATTTAATTCCTAGTGGAAATCCAGTATAAATTCCAACAAAAAAAAAATAAAAAACGAATTTTGTGTAAAGTTTTTATTAAGTAAAAATCCTACTAATATTATAAAAGGGAAAGTTTGTGAGTAAGATTGTCGCTCGTTCACGTTAAAAAAAAAAACAGCTGGATGGATTTCAATAAAATTTTGCACATATACATATGTATATATGAGCCGTATTTTAGGAAAGTACTATAAATCCACTTTTGGAAAAAAAAAATTAGAAAGACACAGATATCCCCTATTTATACCTGTAATCATAAATTCAATGAATGTCGATTCCTTGCTAAAGTCAACAAAAGAAAGCTATACAATTTTATCCTAAATTTGTTTTTTTTTTTTCGTTGAATGCGGAATAAGTCCACTGTACGATACTGTATTTACTATGAATACTTCACCATGCTAACTACTTTTAATTATCATAATGAAGTAATTTAATTAACATTTTTTTATTTATAATAAATATATGGTACCACACAAAATTATTAGCACGGAGAATTTTTTCCAAAATATGCAAACATTTTTTATATAAATTTTTCCGCTAATTTTTTATAAACAAAAAACAAAAATAAAACTTCTAAACACTTTGAGCAAGAAAATTGCCAAAAACCGACGCCACCTATAAAGATAATAAAAAAATTTACGTAGCTCAAATACTAGATACCTACCAAATGTAAGTAATTTTTTTATTATGAATTGAAATTTAGTTGAAATTCTCCACACTGACCATGTTTTGGAATCTCGAGACAATAAGCGACTTTTTTAAATGAATTTAATTTTGCACAAAAATGGGCCAAATATAAAACATCGTTTTAAGTTTTTCTCAGGATTTTTTAAAGAACTTTGAAATTTGAAAAATTATATGGTTTTGTTATTTATGGCCTTATAACAATTATATTCAACAATTTTACTGGGGCCGTTTTCCGCAAAAATTTTCATTGAAAACGGTCTCAAGCTGAATAAAAAGGTTGAATATAATTGAAAAATTATATTAAATAAAAATTATTTTAAAAAATTCAGTGCGATGTGGAAAAACAAAACGGGTATGAAATTACAGAGAAAATTCTGTAGAATTAAAGCCGATAAAGTTTTTTGATGCATAACGAAGATTGCTATTGAAAATGTCCTTTCAAAATGTTATCCTTGAATATCCTTGAAATTTTGCAAAAATTATTTTTGAAAAAAAAAAATAAATGTTATGGGCGACTCGACGACCACTCGACGACATTCTCGAATTTCCTCCTAACTTTTTTAGCTTAAAAAATAAAATTAATTGAAAGAGTATTTTCAATACCTCAAGGACGAATACCTTGCAAACCAAATAGTTTTTTTTTTTCTTAATTCTACAGAATATCTTCTTTCATTTGGTACCCGAATTGTTATTTAACATTGGACTAAATTTTTTATTTAGCACAAAAAAACGCCGAAACACGTAAACTTAATTTTAAGTCGTAGCTTTTGGCCCCGTATACCGTTTTTCTATATGAGGTCACTTTCGCAAAATATTTTAACATTAAGTTTGCATTGTGAATGATAAAAATGCAAACTTTAACAGGGAAACAAATTGAAAAATGCGATTTTTTGTAAATTTTTTTAATTTATGGTAAAGTCTGTTCTTTTACAAAAAGATCAAGCTATCAACGAAGAAATAAAATTGCAAATGATCAAATGAAACCGTTTAATAATTTTTTAAAAACTATTTTTTCAAAAAAGTAAAACTTATTGTTGCTTTTCCACAATAGTTTTTCATTTAAAAACAGCCTAGAGCTCAATAAAAATTGTTGAATTAAAATTTTTTTTTTTTTTACCTTTTCCGAAGTGAACCTCTTAATATCAATGACATTATTTCCCATATATGTAATACTTAATGTGACCAACTATTTCATAGCGCCGCGAGCCGATTACCAAATTTCGAATGCGGTTTAGCGCGAGCCAAAACGCTGCCATCTTAGCCTCGGGAAGGTTGGACAGTCTAAAAGAAAGTGTGGAGCTGACACTAAAATGATCAGTTGAAATTCATAGTCTTACTGCCTGAATACCAATCGCACAATGGTCTGTCCGAACCCCCATCACTAGCTCTTGAGAGGTAATGTGGTATTCGGCACCTTTAAGGGGTAACAGTGGGTCACTCGAGTCTTGCGCTGCAAAAATTATTTTGAAGTACCCTATGAAAACATTTTTCACAGCAGAGGAACGTCTTAGTTTTCGTTTTTATGTCACAATAGGAGCATCACCTTCTCTTGCCCATTTTATAAGGCCCAACCATCCAAGAGTGTACCACAGGAGGACTGAGGCGCCCCTAGTTCCTCCTTACCTGGGGATAACGCTTTAAGGGTGCCGTTCCAATGCCAGCTCATCAGCCACGCAGTTTCCCACGATGTCACTGTGACCCGGCACCTAAACTAAAAGAACTCTACCGCTTCGTGATGTAGGCTATTTCCACCTGAAAGACACTTCAGAAGTCCCGAAGTCTGAATAGTTTTGGTGGTTTCCGACAAAATACACCTCCACCAAAACTGTGTCCAAGTTTTTATCAGTCCGTGAAGAAGATTACCGCTACCTTCTTCGAGTAACCCCGCCCTACGCAGTCATCTCTTGAGGGAATATAGGTAGAAAAGGAGCTTTTGGTAGCCATTTGGCAGGCATTGTAATCAATGTGTTCAGGGCTAAGTCGAAGCCCGCCATAACTCCAGAGTGTTACCACCCGGTTTCCCTTAGCATAATAGCAGTTCGTACTGCGACAATTCTGTCGGCAATATCCGTTTACAAGTGTAACCTTCTATATTAAGTTCCACCAGACAAGGGCTCCGTGAAACAAGAACGGCTGAAATCTGGTTTCATAGAGCTAATGAATTACTTTGGGCGAGAGACCTCACCTTTACCGATAACTCCGCTACAGAAGTACAAGGCAACCGACGCCTTTCTTACCCTTTCCTCAATGTTAGGCTTCCCCGACAGCTTCCTATGTCATTATTTCCCGTCACCTCGTTTTTGCAATTATCGGAGTACAAGAGAACAATAGCTATAGTGCTACTTTAGTCAAGAAAAAAATTGTCTTTATTTAATGTGAGTGTGTGTCCAAGGAATTTTGACATCTGATACTTCACCGCCTGTGACAGCCTGTTGCCTCACTATTTCATCAAGAAATAATTTTATATGCAGTTTTTGCTATTCTTCAGAGCTGCATACTGGCTTTTACTCTTTCGCCAACCTTGAACATAGATACATATTTGTTTTTCTCTGCTAACGAAAATGTGCATATTTATTTCTTATCAGATCAACAACGTACTCTGTACTTATCCATAAGTAATAAATCAGACATAAATTTTTGTTGAACTATTAAATAACAATCACTACTAAGATATTCTGTTATTGCAACCAAACACTCTGCTGCCACCTTGCATTCATTGCAGTCGCCGTCAACGCTGTCATCAGCAATGACCATCATTATCATCTCATTTACTACTGTCGATATGAGTGTGATTCAGCTATGCGAAGTCGCAAAATCCCAATTAAATTAAAATAATTTATCGTGTTTTTAAATTCGCCTTTTGCATTAGCGATCGTAATCGAGTTTGTACATACACACACACACACACACACACACACATTTCTACATGCATCTGGATGCATGTGTGTGAGGCGTACACTCGTATCTGATACCTGCTCGTCGTATTCCGTGTACTTAGCGAATTCAGTTATGTATAATTTATAACATTTTTTGTGACGGATTACAACTGTTGCTTATTACAACAATATCTGTTTGATTCTGATTCCGAATGTATTATATTATACCCTACGCGAGAACTGTCGACACCGGCATCCACACCCGGTGTGTAGTAAGCGCGACAGCCGTATTACAATCCCTGTCGGCTGGGGTAATTAATAATACATAAATGATGCAGTAGTTGGGGCCGTAACTGGTTCAAGGTTATGGCCTGTTCCTGTTAGCACGGTTTATTGTACTCTCGTATTAAGAAATAAATTCTACATATCTGTACAAAAATAGTGTAAATGTATATAAAGGAAAGCGCAAAAACAACAGTTGATTCCTTATTTTCTGACCTTTCCACTTAGGATTTTCGCCGGCATCAACGCTGGTTTCTAATTTTTTATACGATGTTTCATTTGTTTCGGAATTTTCCACATTTGCCTGATACGAATGAATGTAGAAATTTAATTTGTTATTTGCTTACATATGCACATAATATGGATTTAATTATTTTGCCATATGTTAATACATCTTCTTCTTCTTAAATGCGCCTAAGCAATTTGTGCCGAGTTCAGCAAAACACGCTAGTCACTTCTCTTCTGTGCCACCTGACGCCAATTGGAAATGCCAAGTGAAGCCAAGTCCTTCTCCGCCTGATCTTTCCATCGCAGTGGGGGCCTTCATCTTCTTCTCTTAGCCGCATCGCGGCCCGCGTTGAATACTTTCAGAGCGGGAGCGTTTCTTTCCATTTGGACGACATGGCCAAGCCAGCGGAGCCGGGGTTTCAAGATTTTACACGAAAGGTAGTCTGAAACCTCGTTTGGTATCAAATGGCTAGGAGAGGTCCATCCCAATTTTGACAGAGCTGATGGTATTGCTCAAGGTAATTTTACACAGCCGTATTAGTATCGCGGGGATACCAAATTCAGACATCGCGCCATAAAGACAACTTATCTTCATGCTGTCGAAGGCGGCTACAAATAGATGGTGTGATTCGATCCTATTCTCGCAGGTCTTTTCTAAGTTTTTGCGTATTGTGAAAACAAAGATGAGTAAAGATAAAGGCAAAAATGAAGACCAAGGTAAATTTAAACACTTTACTTATATACATAAAAGCAAAGGTGAAGGGGAATATATAGATGAAGAAAATGATAAACATAAAAGTAAAACCAAAGATAATAAGGATAAGGATACCGATAAAAGTAAAGACGAAGATAGGGGAAGAAAGATCAAAATAAAGGTAACTAAAGCGGAAAGGATATAGAGAGAGACACAGAGACGCAATCTGGGAACTATTTTGCGATTTTAGGTATTTTCGGGATTCTCGAGACTTATCGATAAAATAATCGAGTTTTTATCGATTCTGTTATCGATATTTTTATCGATTTTGTTATAGAAATTTTTACCGATATTGTTATCAATTATGCCATCGATATTTTCGGAACTTATCGATATAATGATCGATATTTTTATCGGTTTTGTTATCGATATTTATCGATTTTATTATCGATATTTGTCGATCATGTTATCGATAATCTTCGATTTTGTTATCGATAGTTATCGTCTTTGTTATGGATATTTATCGATTTTGATATCGATAGTTATCGCCTTTGTTATCGATATTTATCGATTTTGTTATCGATATTTATCGATTTTGTTATCGTTATTTATCGATTTTGTTATCGATGTTTATAGATTTTGTTATCGATGTTTATCGATTTTGTTATCGATATTTATCGATTATGTTATCAATAATTATCGATTTTGTTATCGATACTTATCGATTTTTTTTGTTATAGATATTTATCGATTTTGTTATTGATATTTATCGATTTTGTTATCGATACTTATCGGTTTTGTTATCGATATTTATCGATTTTGCTACCAATGGTATTATCGATGTTGCTATTTAAACTTTTATCGAATTTGTTATCGATATTTCTATCGGTTTTGTTATTGAAATTTTGTTGGACGTTATTATCTATTTTATAATCGATAGAGTATAAAGATAAAAATGAAGATAATGGAAAAACAGCATAACAGCATAAATGCAATTAAAACGAAAATTAATAAATATCGCTAACAAAGTCGATAAATATCGATAACAAAATCGATAATTATTGATAACAAAATCGATGAATATCGATAACAAAATCGGTAAATATCGATAACAAATCGATAAATATCGATAACAAAAACCGATAAAAATATCGATTATTTTATCGGTAGGTTTCGAGAATCCCGAAAATCTCTAAAATCCACAAATAGTTCCCACATTAAGTCTCTGTGTCTGTCTCTATATCCTTTCTCTCCCTCTCTTTAATTACCTCTATTTTAATCTTTTTTCCCCTATCTTCATCTTTGCTTTTATCGGTATCCTCATCCTCCTCTTTGTCTTTACTTTTATGTTCATCATTTTTTTCAGCTACATATTTCCCTTCACCTTTGCTTTTATATATATAAGTAAAGTGTTTAGATTTACCTTGGTCTTCATTTTTGCCTTTATCTTTACGCATCTTTGTTTTTGTTGTTATTTTCACCTTTGCCTTTATCATTTTCTTCATTTATGTACGTAGTCACCTTTACTTTCATTCTTGTATTGGTCTTTTTCTAAGTGTTATTCTTTAACCTTTTGTTAGCAAGTTTTTGTTAAATTTATAGATACCATATGCATACACATAAGAAGTACTTGTTTCAGTCCCAATCATTTCCGTTGCACCATTTCCGTTGCATCATTTCCGTCCCAACCAGATCCGTGTGCAACTTCCGCTGAATTTACCAATATACTCCCACCAACCAACCGCCGCTAAAGAAGTTTCAACTCAAAAAAACAAAAATATATTCTGAAGAAACTGATAACCTCCTCCTTTTTTTGGAAGTCGGTTAAAAGGAGAAAAAATATAACCTTAAGCAAAAGCAGATGTGTGTATGTATACATTGGTGATTTCGTTTCTACCAAAAAATGTTGTTTAATGTTACACTCAACCCTTTGAAAATGCATGTTTAGCTTTCTTGTCCTTGTCCACATCAAAAATTTCATCATATTATCGTTTTAAACAACCATCTGATTTTCAGGGCAACCATCTCCCCTGGCAAAGCTGCAAAGGGCAGAAAAGGTGCCTTATTTGCCTTAAAAGAGTGTGACATATTAAGAAACGAACACACAATTTTCTCACCCTTTGCCTTTAAGTTAGAATCGAACAAGAAAAGGGAAAAGGGCAATCAAAAGGCGACATTTTATGGTAGAAACGAAACCACCATAAGTTTCACTTCTCCAGTGTAGCTCAGGCACACTTACTTTTTTTTTATAGAAAAAACAGCTTTCTTGTTAGTTTTTTGAAAGCACTTCAAACTATATAGTAGTTCCAAATGACAATTTTTGGTTGCCCTCATGATCAGTTGTTATTTTGTCAGAATTGAAAGGTTGTGTTAATATAAATAAACAAAATTAGATATGGAAAATAGAGGTCAAGGTTTTGTCTAATAACAATTAATTAATGTGCATATCGTGTGTGTGTTTCTTTGTTGTTATTTAATGTGTTTGTAGGGCCCAATTAAATAAAAATATTTTACAATATTTTTGTGTTCCGTTGAGTAAAACTAGGAAGCTGACAAGTGCTGACGCAAGCTAATGATAAAAAAAAGCTCAATAATAATTCGATTTTATTTGAGTAATAACAGTTTTTGCTCATTTGGTTTAGGAAGAGCCTGCCTGAAACTATATAATAAAACAAACGAGTGTATAGAATTGACAACAAGAACCACGCTGTCAAGTTTAAAAGCGGCAAATCAGCTGTACGTACTTGATACTGCTAGGTTGAATAAGGAAATGAATTAGCAACAAGAGTTTACGGGGTGTGCATAGCTCAGTGGTTAACGCTTCTGACTTTGCACATCGATGACGCGGGTTCGATCCCTGCTGAAGCCTATAAAAAAGAAGTCTGATGAGGTGATGTGGCGATCTCCGAAATAGCTGCTATAACTTCTACCGCTTAGACTTTGTTGCTTTCTCCATTTTTTTTTTTAAACATAATCGTGGTACAAAGCTCAATAACAATAAATATTAAAATTAAAAAAAAAAAACATAATTGTGTTCAATCACGGGAGTTACATACATATATTCGACGACGTCAAAATTTACGATTTACACTAGGCATAAGTGGAAGGAGGAAAGCATACNTTTTTAAACATAATCGTGGTACAAAGCTCAATAACAATAAATATTAAAATAAAAAAAATAAAAACATAATTGTGTTCAATCACGGGAGTTACATACATATATTCGACTACGTCAAAATTTACGATTTACACTAGGCATAAGTGGAAGGAGGAAAGCATATATAAAAACGTAAAGGGCTGCTTGTGCCTACGTGAGAATTGTAACGTACTGAATACTGCTTAAGGGCGCAAGGTTGATGACAGAGAAGTACATACAGTCAATCACAGAAGTATTCATAAATTAGTTTTTTCACAATATTCAAACTGTTTTCCATTATAAATCTTTTTCGCTTATTTTCATTTAAAATACAACTCATTCTATACCGAAAACCATATAAATCATTCTTGCAAACTTTTTACAATATTCATTAAAATGAGTCAAACTTAAAAAAATGTTCATAAAAATTTTGAACTTTTTATTCAGAATTTTTAGAAAAATTTTCGGTATGCAGTTTTGTAACCCGTTCAATTTTAGTACGATTCAAAACTGAGACTGTGTGTGTTACATGCACTGCTCAGCTGTTGGTCTTCGTATACGAGTGAAACACACATGTACTCAGAGAGCGCTCAGTGAGCTATGGCCTGCTGACCACTGTTTTAAATTAAAATTAATTTTTTTTTTTTAATTAAAATTAACAAAAAAAAAATTATAATGGAAAACATTTTGAATATTTTGAAAAAACTAAATTACGAATACTTCAGTGNTTTTTTTTTTTTTAATTAAAATTAACAAAAAAAAATTATATTGGAAAACATTTTGAATATTTTGAAAAAACTAAATTACGAATACTTCTGTAAGTGACTGTATGTAGGTGAATTAAATTTTTACGCAGGCCATGCAAGATTACATTCTTTAAAACATATCTTTGACAAAACAACTTATGTAATTTTAAATTCTTTAATTTTAGATGGAAAAAGAAAGGAACTTACATAAAAAATTGTATAATTTTACTAAGCTTTTATGAAAATGCCAGCTTAAAACTTGACATATGATTGGTTAAAAGTTAATATGTTGTATGGGAACCAAACGATTTCACGCTACAAAGAAAAATTTGTCGAACACAAGATAAGTGGTTTTGTCATATGTTCATTGATATATTTAAATTCATTGATGACGTTGTTATTTTTTTCGAGGGCCTTAGTGCGTGCTTATTTTATTACTTTTTATAGTTTATTCGAGTTTGGCTTTGCGTTGGAAATTGAGTTAAGGTTACACATAAGTACTGTGCTCTTATCTGTAAAGCACTATTCATGAGACTTGATGCGGAGTCCGACACGTGCTTCCTCATTTACCTCATACACAACTCAAAGAAGTGCATGCAGTCAGTCAAAAAAGTTTAGGTACAGCGAATTTTTTACAATACGGGCAACTATTTTTTAAATATTTTATTTTTTGCTAATTTTTTATAAAAATATGGTTAATTCTACAACAAAAACCCAAACAATCAGAGTTTCAAACCTTGTGCAAAATTAAATAAAATTCTGCAATATATCATTCAAATATTGCACTTTTTATTTAAGCTCTCTAGAAGAAAGCTGTGTATGCAGTTTTTTAGCCCATTCAATTTTAGTATAACAAAGTGCAAGTTTGAGGTAGCTAGGGCTTACCATTGATTTTTAGCATTTTTTTTTTTGTTGAAGGTTTCGCACGTTTTTTCCATATAAAAAAATTTCAAACATTATTTTATATGGAGAAAATGAGCGACACCTTCAACAAAAAATTGTCAAATTGATATGGCGACAGTAATTTATGTGAAAAACGTCCATTTTTAAGGCTTAGTAAGGCTTTTTCAACCCTTAACTAGTGTGCTTCAAAAATTAGACATAACTAAATACTTATATTGGTCTATGAGGCCAAACCAACTTTATTGTTAAGTAATAAAAATATGTATAGATCGTTTCACCAAAAACTGTTTTTAGTGACTGTTTATGACTTTACAAAACAATTAAAGCGTTCGATTTTTTTTTTTTTTTAAGTTACTTTAATTCAAACTTTATTGGCAATATCTGAAACCATATGTTAAGAACAAAAACAAAAAAAGTGATTCATACATATGTTTAAAAAGAAAAAAATACTACGCGTATTCAGCTAATGTCAAAAACTGGCTTATCGCGCTGTTTTCTTACCGTGGCTCACAGCTTAAAAATACCGCCGTAGCTAAAACAAAAAAGTAACTTCGAAAATCTATATAAATAATATAATTGTAATAGGCCGATGTCTGGATATTATAGATATTAAAGAAATATTGAGACAAATCAACAAATTTTTAGAATTTTTGCCTCTCGAAAACTAATGCATGGAATCGAATGCAGTATTCACCAATGTATTCCTAGATATCTAACTTAAAAATAAAAAAATTTGAGAGTTGCCCGTTGTTTGAAAATTGCAGTTTAAGTTAATTGATAAGACAAAGTAAATATTGCAATATGGGTATCTTAGTCCTTAACATATAATTTAGAAAAAAAATAATTATTGCAAAATTTCAAGGATATTCAAGGATACAATTTTAAAAGGACATTTACGATACCTCTCGCTTTTGTGTATCAAAAAATTGAATCTGCGTTAATTCTACAGAATCTTCTCTTTAATCTAAAACCCATACTGTTTTTGTGCATTGCAGCGAATTTTTTAAATAATGTNTGTATCAAAAAATTGAATCTGCGTTAATTCTACAGAATCTTCTCTTTAATGTAAAACCCATACTGTTTTTGTGCATTGCAGCGAATTTTTTAAATAATGTTTTTTAAGTAATCATATTTTTAAAATTTTCAAGTCTTTAAAAAATCCTGCGAGAAAAACTAAAAACATAGTTTTACTATATTTAGCCTATCCCTGACAGATATCGTCAGATAGGTAGGAGACATTAAAAAATAAATCGAAAAATAGTTACGTCAATGCTAAGGCTTGGTGTCTCACAGACCACGCACAAACAAATTAAATGCAAATACTACCGCTCTTTTCACCGCACACGTTTATAAGTACATAGCTACGGGAGTTAACTCACTGCTGATTCGGTAAAAGCTATTCGTAGTACGAAATTTATTGGAGCGTAAACGAAATATGTATTTTAATCTAAAAAGTTTGTCGTGGTCTGAGAGATCAACAACAGTACTTAAGGGTTAAAATAATTGAAAGCAATCTGCATTTCTTCACTGATTTTCTTGAAGGCCTACTTGTACACTTGAAAATAAAACAAATATGTGTTAAATATTTGGCCTACAGAACAATTTTAGTGAAAAACGCCCGTTTTCAGTATTCTATGGAAAGTTCTATCGTTTTACTTTGCCTATTCAGCGAAGAGCGGCCTTGCGCACAGTGGTTGGAATCGCAAATCTAGCTGAATCAAAGTCAAAATTTGATTTGCTTTTAAATTACTTTATGATACTCGTAATATATTCCTGACAATATATTTAAAAATATACTACAAATTTGAATTGACTGATCCAATATGGGGGACGATTTTTTTGTGGTTCGATGATTTTTTTATATGGAGAAAATGAGATACACCTTCAACAGAAAAATTGCCAAAACTCAACTTGCACTTTGTTATACAAAAATTTAATGGCATACAAAACTGCCTACTCAAAATCTGTGTTGCTTGTGCGCGAAGTTTTAAACTTAGATTAATACGGTTTCTGTTAAAGAACAAAATATATTAAAAAAATAATAATAATAATTAAAATGAAATAATAATAACATAAATAGTCAAAACTTTTTAATACATGGTTGTCACATAGTTATGATAAGCACTGTATTTATTAGAGAATCATCAGTTCGAATGAAGTATTTTAAATAGTATTTAGTAATTTTTATTATGAGTTGAAAATAAAATAAAAATCTTTATATAATGCAAAATATATAATATTTAAATAACTAACTTTTCCAGAAATTGTATTAATTTTTAATAAATTTGTAATCGTCATAAGTATAATCTCTGAACAAAAAATGTTCAAATATGAGGGTTATCTAAGATTTTTTAAATTTTTCGTCCGCCACATTAGATCCGTCATTTAGCATTTCTGATAAATGACTTTAGATTCGTATTCAGCGTTTCAGATACACACTTTTATAAAAATCTACCGATTCCTTAAATTTTTCGTCCGCTATATTGGATCTGTCAATTTGAATTTTTAGTAAATTACTTCAGATTCGTAATAAGCGATCCAGAAAACCCCTGGATACCCAGTTTCATAGAAGTCTACCGATTCTTTAAATTTCCCGTCCGCCATTTTGAATTTATAGTAAATGACTTCAGATTCATAATCAGCGACCCAAAGATCCCCTAGATAAGAAGTGGTGTTAAAATTCATCTTCGCCCAGCTAGATTTACGATTTGAATTACTGTATACCGTTTTGATGACTGAGTCTCTGCTAATTTTTTTCATAAAATTTTAGTTATAAATTTTAATTTAATTATGAAGTTTTAAGCAAATCACTTAGAATATCACCAATTGCTTGACCATTTGCTTTTGATCTTTCAAATAGAGAATTTTCGCCCAAATATATGCGTCTTAGGCCCAAGGTGCATTGATTGACAAACATTATTAACATCAACACACATATGTACCTGTGCACAAACATCTATTGATTTGCGTGAATTGATGTGGAACCCAATTCGATGTGAAATGAATAAAATTTTTTTTTAACAAACTTCCAATTGCGAATTTTTCAGTTCAAATCAGCAAAATTTGAGATGAAGAAGTGTTGAGCGAACAAAAACAAAACAAAGAAAACCCCTACACTAATCTGTATTTAACACTTTTGCGCACTTTTAGATTTTTCACCTTTTAAGGGTTAATGACAGTCTGCACTACATATGGATTTATGTATATGTAAAGAGAAGCGTCCTAAAACCATACCATGAAAAATATACGAATAGAATGTAATAAAATTAATACTTTTACTTGCGCATAGAATGTAGAAATATTATTAAAATGCTACATAAAACCTAATGGACCTTGATCCCGGGTCGCCATCTGCAGCGATTGATTGTCAGCTGTCGAACTCGTGATGCTATTGATGGTTTTACGCTCATTAAGATGTCGCGCCGCTTTGCGTTCTTAATTTTTTAATCATGCATAAAAACTTATTGATTTATTATTGACAAACATCTATGTATGTATGTATTTGTGTATGTATGCATGTTTGAAGCTTGTGAATATATGGATTTTTAATAAGACTATGTACAAGGATGTGTTTATTCGTAAGTCGGCTTACCTATAGACTAATGTGAAACTAGAGCATTCTGGTTTATTACCGGTCCGCATTAAATATACAACGCATTTCAATTTGTTCAGGTTTGACATTTAATAAGAAAGAAGATTGTAGGTGAGAGCCGTTTAATTGTGTACAGATAAAGAAATGAGCATTTGAATATTGTGGTAACATATTGGACACGAGCTTTTCATCCACTTGGATCCACTCGAAACAAACCTAACCTTACCTAACACAGATATCATAGCAATGTCTTCGGAGAGGCATATTTTCAAAATTTGGTTTAGTCTTTCTGAAGCTGTATTTTACTTTCAAACACACTCGTCTAAGTCTCATATTAGTATGGGTGCCAAGCTGACCATCGGATTTATGAATTTTCAGATTTGCAATAAATCTCTCATAATTTTTCAATACTCGTGATANTTATTCGTAAGTCGGCTTACCTATAGACTAATGTGAAACTAGAGCATTCTGGTTTATTACCGGTCCGCATTAAATATACAACGCATTTCAATTTGTTCAGGTCTGACATTTAATAAGAAAGAAGATTGTAGGTGTGAGCCGTTTAATTGTGTACAGATGAAGAAATGAGCATTTGAATATTGTGGTAACATATTGGACACGAGCTTTTCATCCACTTGGATCCACTCGAAACAAATTTAACCTTACCTAACACAGATATCATAGCAATGTCTTCGGAGAGGCATATTTTCAAAATTTGGTTTAGTCTTTCTGAAGCTGTATTTTACTTTCAAACACACTCGTCTAAGTCTCATATTAGTATGGGTGCCAAGCTGACCATCGGATTTATGAATTTTCAGATTTGCAATAAATCTCTCATAATTTTTCAATACTCGTGATAAGGGATTTTGCGCTCAATGCCTATCAAGGACTAGTATTGGCCGTGAACGCGGCTAAAAGTATTATCCGAAGAGTCAGTGGAGCTGTTTTGCTTATATATCTTCAGGTTATACCTCCCTATGAGCTTGTAACTTGACTAAGACCTATGATGTACGCCAGTGAAGTTCTCCTATTCCTTTGTCTCTTTGCTGAGTCCTTCCTTCAACGTGTTTATACTGCGGGACTCAAACTTATGATGGGCATACTGGACCAGGCGTATTTGGAACTAGAAAAGAGCAACTATATTCCCGGCGAAATTTTCGCCATCGAAGGCTTCACCAGCAAATTCCTTCATAGAAGACGGTAAGGCAATATAAAAAGGTTTGGGGACGTGCAAAACTACTAGAGTTATAGACAGTTATAAAACTCTCTTGAACGGTAAAAAAGGAAACGGCTGACACACTCGCAAACCTTCTAAATGAAACTTAGCCGAGCTTTTAAGAATAAGCGGTGATCCTAATGTAGCTCTCAGCTCAGTCAGCCCACTTATCATTGACACTGTTCGGTATTCTCAACATAAAGAGTTTTTAGTTGAAATTACATGTACGATTCCCTCACNACTACATACGATTTTTGCCTTATTTGTGTACGTATTTTATGTACATACTTCATAAATACATACATATGTATGTATGTACGATTATTAAAGTGTATGTTTCTTTTTTAGAGGCAAATACTTAGTTCAATATATTCAAGCGTATTGCCCTGCAAGAGTCTGAGTCGGATAAGAATTTATTTTTGTAATAATCTCGGCATGTATTTCACCTTAACTTTATTGCTGTTTTTGCAAGCGCGTAGAATAAAGCGTGATTTTACATAAGGTTTTTTTAGCAAGTTTTTTCCGGTAAAAAGCGGCACAATTCTTCATTGATGATATATACTCTGTACAGGCCAGCCAAAGCGAGTTCAGTTTAGATTTTCTATTGTAAATTTTCATTTGTGTATGCATTTTAGTAGTAAGTATTTAAATACGAATATGCAGGCACTAGAATATGGTACGTAAAAAACAAAAAAAAATAAAAAAAATCAACATCTTGCTTTTTACAAGCTTTTATTTAACTTCACTTGTATGTGTGTCCTGGAATTTTGTAATCAATATTTAGCAAGTTTCCCGATGAGCTTGAGACTTGGAACATCGCACTAACTGCAG